GGAAAGAGAAATCACTCTCCAGGGGGAGATGGCCATGCCACAATACCTTCTCTTCCATTCTCCTCTTGGAATTTTGGGCCCACACGCATGTACCAAATGTGTTTTTCCAACTGCCAGATCTGGAATTTGAACTGCCCAGTTGGCCCTGTGGGATCTAGAGCCTTAACTACCACACCATCTGCTGGCCCCCAAGATATACTTCTAAGGGAAGGAAGCCAGGTACAGAGCACACGTGTGTGCATTCTGAAATAGCAAGGGAAAGCACATACCAAGACAGTGACTCACACAGGATGTCTCTGGACGGACACAAGTGGCAGTCATGCTTCTCCCTGGGGACAGTAGACAAGTGATTTTCCACTGCACGTCCCTTTCAAAGTTTGAATCACATGAGTGTATTACCCATTGAATATCTAAATATAAATTATTTTTCATTTACTTTTGTGCATTTGAAAACAATGTCCATCTTATTATTAGACCCTCCTGGCTAAGACCAAGCTTTAAATATGCTTTGGCTTCATGGAAAGGTTTCCAGGTGAAAAATGACATTTAGGACCTTCTGGAGCTGGGCCCAAGGGTCTGGGCAGTGAAGTGGGTCTGGGACCCTTCCCTTCCAGGGACCCCCAAGCCCATCTGAGAGGCAGGAGAAAATGGGACTGAGGGGCTGAGATAGCACCAGCCCTGCCATGGCCCCAGTGCAGGTGTGAAGCCCTGGTGGACAGGACTGCCCTCATTACATTTGACCCCATGTCTTGCTGGGGCTGGCACCCGGGCAGGAGCAGGTGGGCATGAACAGGCAGAAGAGGGTCACCGTGGCCCCTCATGTGGGGAAGGATTGAACATCTTATGCCCTCCCAATAGCCATTGTCAAATGCCCACCCTCTGCTCTGGGAATTCGGGTCCTTTACCCCCACTAAGGAAATGTTCTCCCTATCACTGAGCATGCTCTGTACACCTGTGCCAGGTGTTTCCCTCATAATGGAGCAGAAGCCCGGGGCAGCCAGGACCGCCATCCCCCATGCTCACACCTCCTGGGGGTGCCCCATGCTGACACCTGCCCCCAGAGAGCGGGCACCTCAGCTGGCCTCTCTCCAGCCTGCCAGGCCGGATCCCCTTCCCTCTTCCAGGGTCTACTCAGCCCTGATCTGGAACACCTGCAGCCCCCAGGCGGGTGTGGCTGCTTCATGACACCCATTTGGGGCGGCAGACTCTCTGCTGCCAGGAGACCGTCTCCCTGGATCCTGACTCTTTGATGTGGCAACAGTGCGGAGGAGGGAGAGTGCCGCCCACCCCTCCCTGCGTGGGGGATGGTGAAGCCAGCTGGGGAGATGGAGCAGGGGCCCCGCACCAAGACTGGTCACTGTGGGCTGCCTGTGTGCAGTGGCCCCTTCTCAGCCCTGCTCAGGGGGAGGGTGGTCAGAGCAGAGCAAAGCAGAGAGGCATTGTGAGCAGGTGGTCCCCAGGGACAAGGGCCTCAGGTGACAGCTTCTCCTGCACTGCCGACGCCAGAGGGTCTTGGCTCGACTTCACGAGTAGAGGGGTCCCCTTACACCTGTCACAGCAGAGGTCCTGGATCTAGGTATGTGCCAGGACTTCCACAAACCTTATCCCTAAACCTCATAGAGGCTAAACTGCAGCTTAGGGGAAGGGTGTCTTGTCCCAAAGTCATAGAAGAGGCCTAAAACCCCTCACCTGCTGCTCCCTCCCCTACACACGCATGTGCACACGCACACAAACCACTATCTCTTCCTGCCCCCGTTGATGCGTGCATGCCCTGGGTCAGCTCGGCACGTGGTGGGTGGGGTAGACGTAGGGGGAAGAGCACTCGAGGAAGAAGGTGCAGCCCAAGCAGAAGTGCCACGGTGGGCAGTACGGGGTGCGGGTAAGAAACCGAAGTGTGATGTCCGCTGGGGCTGGAAGGTGCGGTGGGTAAACCGGAGCGGAAGCAGGTTGGAAGGTTAGGAAGGGTGGGGTTCGGATGCCGGAAGAGAAGCCTGATTAGGGTACACGGGGACACCACTGGAGGTTTCTGCCTGGAAGGTGGGCATTGCCGGAGTTGTCTTTCCAAAAATGACCAGCACGGTCGCCGTGAGGACTAACTCAGGCAGCAAGACCCCCGATGGAGGCAGTGAGGAAGCAAGGTGGCAGTTGAAAGAGAGGCTTCTGGAATAAGGATGCTTGGATGGAAGCCCGGCTGTACTGCTCATTGGCTGAGTGACCTTGGGCCACTTACTTATCCCCTCTGGGCCTAAATTATTTCATCTATAAAGTGGGGATGACGATAATTCACCTCATGGGGCTATTGGGAGGGCAAAGTGAATTAAAGCATGCCCAGTATGGAAAACAGAGCCTGTCAGAACATACCAGGCGTTAAGTTAAGTCTCGGCCTTCTGTCTTGTGTCCTGATGACCATCGCCCTGGTACTCAGCCCCCATCCCTGCCCTAGGCCACTTAGCCATGGGGGTTCTGTGAGCCTGCTCTGCTGGGAGCAGAAGGGAAGACAGAAGGGAGGCCAAGGCCAGAAGCCCGGGCAGAGGAGAGGCCCGGGCACAGGAGTTGTTCTCACTGAATACTGAGGTGTCAACAGCCTAGATCTAGGTAGCCTGCTGTGTTTTCAGACTCCAAGTAGGTGCCCAGCCAAGCAAGGACTGGGCTGATGGCTAAGACCCTCTCCCACCCTGTCCTGTCTCAGCTCCAGGTGGGCAGGGGGACACTCTACCAGTTTCTCCAAGCAGGGATCTCTGTGTTCACGGAGCAAGGGCCAAATACAGAGTCTGAGAGGAGGAACAGGAGGGGATGTCTTGGCAGTGGGCTGGTGGACCCTCCCAGGCAGCTCTAATGAGGCATGCGAAGGCCACAGAGGTTGCCGCGGTGGTGGCGCGGTCGACAGGAGGGCAGGGGTGAGGCAGACCTGGCCTGACAGCCGGGGCAGCCTTGTGCGATCAGCCCTGCGCCGGCGGTTGCTCGGGTGAGCAAGTGCGCGGAGAGTCATTCGCTTCTAATAACCCTAATCCACTCATTACCACTCCCGCAGCTGATGGGTGACTCAGGCCCCAGCCGCCCAGGGTCCCTGCCTTTGTAACTCCCATTCTGCCCTCCCCCCTCACATCTGTGCAACAGCTGGGCTTCAGGACAGCCAGTTCCCGCAGGATCCGGCACCATCTGCTTCCCCCAGGGGAGCCAGGCTCCTCAGAGGGTGTGCTCAGGGGGGCTGGACCCCCTGGAAGGGCAGGGTGGGGCTAAGGTACAGCTGGCCTGGCAGACCTCTCACTGGCCGGGGGCTCAGGAGACCTGGTCTCTCACTGATGTTGAACATGTTTCCCTGACCCCTGAGCCTCGGCGTCTGGAGCTGCTTGATGGAAGGGCTGTCTGACTCCCTCCCTGCTCCTCCAGCCTAGTGTAGGAAGGGGATTTTCCCAGGGAAGCCTGGGGCTCCTGTGTGCGTGTACAGGGGTGGGGCGCTTTGTTATGAGACAACTGGACTGTTGACCTGCACGGCATGGGGATGGAGCGCAATGGAGTGGGTGGAGTGTAGAGGTACCACCCGCCAGCACCACCTTCTGCCCCACCCAGCCTTAGGATGCCATTCATGTTGGGGTCCTCAGTCCCCTCTCTCCTATCCCTGCTGGGCTCATGGGACGTGTCCCCATGGCTGCACCTTCCTGGGACAGGCAGGAGTTGATCGGGTCCTTGGTACTAACAGTAAAGCCTGCAGAGCGGCACCGTGCATCCTTCGTAGGCATGGTATGCCAGGCGGTCTCACGGCAGTGCAGCCAGCATGATACCCAGCTGACAGGGCAGGGGCCTGAGGCCCGAGGGGCTACACCATCATGCCTCACAGAGGGCAGCACCGGAGTGCGAACCCAGCTGTGTGACTGCAGGTCTTCTCACGGTCACAGAGCTACGAGAGGCCCGAGTGCCTGGTGCAAAACTGAAGGCCCGCCTTCTCAGATCACTGAGTCTGGAGGCCTGGTTACCTCATCTGCCTTTATACCCACCTGGCATGGTGTGGGCACTCAGCCATTGTTTGGTGCCTGAAGAAATCATCCAGCTCCCGAAAGCGGAATCTCTCTGGCTGAAGCAAAGATGGGGTTTCATTGGCCAATTCCTACTCTGCTTCTGTCCCAGCCTCTCATTTTCAGATAGTAAAACTGAAGTGGAGAGAGGGAAGGGGCCGAGCAGGATCATCCATCAAGTGGATGATGGCAGAGGCAAGACTGGAGTCCCTGTAAAGGACATCCCAGGAGAGCAACGCTGGGGACTCCAGGAGCAACCCAGGACTCTTGTCTCTCTCAGAGGGAGCTGGACCGCGTTCCCGTCCTTTTCCTCAGGCTGAGTTGCGAGTGGGAGGTGGGGAGTGAAGTGGGCTGAAAACCCAGCCTGGACCAAGCTCTCTGAGCACCATAATTAACAAGTGCACCGGGCTCCACGCCCCGCCCCCAGTGTCCTACATGGCGCTCTGGATGGCTTACTCCAGGGACGGCCCATGTGTGTCTAGCGCAGGGCCACCTCATTCCCTGCTGTTGACACACCCAACTCCCTTCTTCTAACAGCAAACATTGGGCCTGGAGAGATGGTCTAATTGGCTGGCGGTGTCCTACTCCTGGCTCCCCTCCTTGCCTAAACAGACAGCCCTGTTTGTCCTCTCTGCCCAGACACCAGGACCTGACCGTCCCCCAGCTCCCTGCCTCGTTGGCCGCTCGCTCCATCTGGTTCTCACGGAATCCTCATCAGAACTAAATAGGTGCACGAAAAACCCTTAGGGCAACCCCTCAGCCCCTACCTAAGCCACAGTATCTCCGCTTTTCCAGACGAGGAAACTGAGACGCAGGAGGGAGGAGAGTGGCCTGAGACCTCCTAGAGCAGGGGGCGGGGCTGGCACCGAACTCTCAGTGTCTTGGCACTTGCGGTTCCTGTTGTCAGAAAAGCCTTTCCTCAGTGAAGCTTCAGGCCACAGACCGAATGGCAACCCTGGCTGCTTTCAATATGGTTCAAAATCCTCACTGTCTTTTTCATCACCCCATCAGCCTCTGGAGACGCGCTAGTTCATCTCAAGGCCCCCAACTCCCAGGCCCGAGCACCGAGTGAGGTCCTGGGTGAAGGACTGGAAAAGGATGCATTGGTGGGCTTGAGCCAGACTGCAGCTTCTCCATCTGGGTCCAGCTTGGTCCCTCAAATCCCTGCCTCTGCTCCCTCAGGCCTCTCAGGCCCCTTGTTCCAAAATCCCAGTGGGCGTGTAAGACTGTGGTCTGTCTTGCTTCGCCCATGCCATGGGCCCAGCTTGGGCAGAGCCTTCTCCGGGCTATTGTGCGTGAGTCACTGGCAAACTGTAAACAAGTCTCTGAGCACGGGCTGTACCACCAAGGTGCTGGCACTCGTCCTAGCTGTACCGGGGGGATCTAAAAGAAGACATGGCTCCCACGCACCCATGATGGAAAGGAGAAGGTGGAATAGAAACAGGGGGGAGGCTTCCAGATTTGCATCCCAACACGTGCACAGGAGTCAGGAATGCAGCCCCGGCCAGGGAGGGGACGGAACAGAAGCAGGGGGATGAGCAGAGGAATTCAGCAGGGACCTGTGGTAAGGAGGTGGGGTGGCTACCGGCACTGTCAAAACCATCTCTGTTTCCTGAGCACCTACTATGTGACAGGCACTGCTCCAGAGCCAGGGATACTGTAGTGAGCAAAACAAAAAGCCCAGGCTATGGAGATCAGAAAAGCAGAACAGACTGGGGGGGTGGGGGTGTGCAGGGCAGCTTCGTCGTTTGTAAGACACCGTATAAGGACAGGACCTCCGAGACCTCTCCAACCACTTGACAGATGAAGAAACTGAGGCCCAGAAAGGCTGAGGATTTGTCCAGGGTTGCACAGATAGAGAAGCCAGGGGTAGGCCCCAGGCCCTGCGTGTCGGCTCAGAGCTGAGGCTGATCTCTTGGCCTTTAGAAAGGAAGGGCTTTCACCTTCAGGAAAGCCCTGAGCTCAGCCCGTCCCCATCATGGCCCATGAGGGGGTCTGATTTACGTGGTCCTGCAATAGGGACCACTGGATGGAGCAGGACCCCTCCCCTTCAGTCCCCTCTGGGAGGGGCCTCAAGGCACTGTGAAGCAGCAGGGGTTCTGACGTCAGAGTCCCAGCAGCAGGTCCCCTTGGCTGAGCCTCCTCTGCGTCCTTGTCTAAACG